GGAGAAAGAAAAATACAGTGCAATGGTTTTATTAAATGGACTCAAGATTATGTTTTAACTTAGGTTTTACTTTTCAAAAGGCTAAAAATGGCAGGGGAACTATTCAGACCCCACTATTAATGATGGGTTTTGTTTTGTTTTTTGCTTTTTTTAATTCAAGCCATCATATTATAAACTGACTTTACTGAAGACGTAGGCTAAGTGTCACAGGCGAAACATAGAGGAGGAAGACATGATTTTAACTCTCATTTGATTTGCTTATAATCTAGCAAGAAGTAATGGCACTAAGAATAATATAATAGTAACAAAGTGAATATTTATACAGCAGTTACTCAGTGTCAGTTGATGTTCTAAGTGTTTTAAATTTAGGAATACTCTACAGCAAACCTATAAGGTTGGTCAGGTGGGCAGGTGCCTAAATGTGATAATGCTATATAATAAGAAACCCTAGTTACTCTTGGAGCCTGCTTTCTGTAGCAGGAAGGAAATGGGTGGTGGGTGGACATGGCCTTAACTTCACATAGTGTGTCTTTCCCCTCTACACATGTAACTTCGGACTTTCACTGGAACTCTCTGCTGTTTGGATTTCACATCAATTAATAATACCAGCCCTGCATCTTTTTTAAATGCACGTTAAAGATGTGTATAAAACTTCCCGTTTATGGTTAGCTTTCCATATAAAGAAGTTTTACTATTCATTAGGTAAGGGGATTATGGGAACGTTAATAAAGAAGGTGATAGTGGGTCTCCATGAGATTTCAATAAGACAAATGGAAGACAAAATTGTGTGAAAGGAGGACCAGCAGGTGATATGAACTGGAAGACACAAAGTATGCTGCTTATAGTGAATAGTTCATTTCAATTGTGGTAAAAGGGATGGGAGGAAGAAGGGTGAGCATCTCGTCTGGAAAAAGAGGCTTATTATCTTGGGCTCCTTAGATCGGTGTTCACAAATAACTGCCTGTTTTTGTACAGCTCAAGGACTACGGATGGTTTTATGTTTTTAAATGATTGAGAAAAATGGAAGGAAGACGAAGGTGTGATATGTGAAAGTTCTATAGAATTTATGTTTCATTGTCTGTAAATGAAGCATTATTGGCACGCGGCCACACGAATTCATTTATAGGTGGCAGAGAATGTACAACCTGCAAAGCCTAATTATTTAGTATTATTTCCTTACAGGAAAAGGTTGTTCACCCCTGCCTTAGATACACTGCTTATTTTTTTAATTGTGTTATTCTAATTCCAGTATAGTTTACATAGTGTTATATTAGTTTCAGGTGCACAGCAGAGTGATTCAACAATTCTGTGCATTACTCAGGGCTCATCCCCTTCACCTATTTCACCCCTCCCCACCCACCTCCCCTCTGCTAACCATCAGTGTGTTCTCTGTAGTTTTTTTTTTTTTTTTTAATCCTGCAGTTCATCATCTCTGATGGCAAAACTGTAAACAGATCTATTTTATAGTCTAGGAAATAATATACCAAACAAGCTTCTTCTCTCAGTGTCTCTGATATACATGTCACTTGACAGATGAAAGCACAGCTTCTACAGGTCCCAGAAAGGCTCTGTGGGGTCACTGGCTTGGGTCTGCGTGACTCCCATTTGAATCCGGGTTCTTATTCACCCTTTATTGCTTGCTATCGTGGGCCACAGTGTGAAGAATGTTTTGGTTTAATTTCCACTTATATATAGTCCCCAGTGATATGTAGTTCCAATATTGGATAGAATCTATTTAGACATTACCTTTATCTTCTTCCTTTTACTCTGTGTTTCCTCAGTTGTTAAACTTTTTTTTTCCCCCCAAGTAAAACCCTGTTCATTAAATCTAATGGTTATGGAACGTATTGCTTAGATAGAAGTCAATAAGAAAGAGAAATAGGAATTAAAATTTTATTGCAAAAGCTTTCTCTTCAATGTGTTTAACAACCCTATCTATCACACCACACCCCTCTTTGAAAAGTAGATGTCTGGTTGATTCTGATTTGCTCTGGAAATCATTTTGTGTAGCAATTTCTTTTGTCTGTAATCTTGATTCATAGCCTTTCATACAAATTCTTTTATTGCTCTATTGTCATAATAGCTCTTAGGCAACCAATCATCATGCATGATACTGTGTTTCATTATGACTCAGTGGCATCCAGATGTCTATACCTCATGTTGTTGCCTTTTAGACACATTAAAAAAAAGTTGCTATAAAATAATCGCATTCATTTGTGCAGTAGATTTTACATTTTTCTTTCATATGCCAAACTTTTACTTGAATACAGAAATACTTGTTATCCCTTTTGATAGAGCTGAATGAATATCTTAAAAGTGGTTGTGGTTTTGAATTGATTTAAAAGGAGATGGTAAATAGGATTTTTAAGACACCTTCTGTCATACAGAGACACATACGATATAAAAATAAGATTTCTCTCATTATTTGTCAGTTTTATAAGTAATATAAGAACAAAGTACACAGGTTAATATCCAAGCTATTTGTGAGTATGTTTGGAATAAGTAAATGCATTTAGGTAAGGAATTTTTTTTATCCTTAGCAATACCCAAATTAAATACTAGATTACATGTATGGGTACAACACAGTGTTAATGCAGAGGTCAGCCTTCTTACAAGAGGCTTTGCATCACAATTACCCAATGAGCCTTCTTTTTTTAAAGACTTTATTTATTTATTTGAGAGAGAGAGAATGAGAGAGAGAGAGAGCATGAGCAGGGGAGAGAGAGGGAGAAACATGCTTCCCGTGGAGCGGGGAGTGGGGAGCCCAACGCAGGACTCGATTCCAGGACCCTGAGATCATGACCTGAGCTGAAGGCAGATGCTTAACTGACTGAGCCCCCCAGGAACCCCCCTTTTAAAAATGCATATGGTTGGGCTTCTTCCTGGATCTGCTGAATCAAAATCTTCTTTGAAGGGGCCACACATGTGTCAGAAAACTCCCCTGGGTAGTTCTGATCCTCACATTTGGTTGAGAACCATTGCACTGGAAATATTTTTAGGTAATAGACAAAAAAGGTAGCATCATCAGAATATCACTGAATTTGTTAATAAGGTGGTGTTTAGGGCACTGTGTACCACATGCCCCTGCATTTTCATATGAAAGCTCAGAAAATTAAAACTGCATTTTCCTGTAGCAATTCTAAGAAGTGTTTTGTGGTAAAGAAAACCAATATACCTGACTATTCCTTCTCCCACCCCTCCTTTTGGCTATCAGGATTCCCTGGGGCAAAAGCATAGTTCAATTTTAAGGCTCTGTATCCTGGATATCTGTGGTCTAGTTTTTTCTAATTCAACAAGAATTTATTGAGCCCCTTCTATGTACTGAATTCATAACAGGCCCTGGGAATGCTAGTAATTAACAAGACAGTCTGGAGCTTACAATCTATTGGATGAGACAGATGTGAAGCTAGTAAACATTTAGTAAGTGCTCCCTGATCTAGATAATATAAACCTATTTTTGAGTATTGATTTATATATTTTTCCCTCAGTATTAATCGGAGATGAGCCATGGGGACTTTTATGTAACATATATCTGCAAATACACACACATCTATATTTGTATATTTTGTATGTACATGGATTTCTGTGTGCACATGTTATGTTTTATATAAACAGTACATATATATACTGTTTGTCATATAGACATACATATACATACAGTGTGTCTCTCTATATATATCCTATTTTCTATTTACACGACTACATTGTTTTATTTTAGTCCCCTTTTCCCTAATACTTTTTCTGTTACATAACCGTTAGGTAAAAATTACAATTAAGTAAACCATGCTTTATATTTGGTGGCATTTCGGTCCATTTCTTTACTTTTTAAAAAAATTATTTTTGTTTTATCTCCTTGAATGTAAGGAATATTTTGGGACAGTTTTTCAGTGCTGAGATTGAGATCAAAAGTCATAAAAATCTGGGGTGCCTGGGTGGCTCAGTCGTTAAGCATCTGCCTTCGGCTCAGGTCGTGGTTCCAGGGTCCTGGGAGCGAGCCCCGCATCGGGCTCTCTGCTCCATGGGAAGCCTGCTTCTCCCTCTCCCCCTGCTTGTGTTCCCTCTCTTGCTGTGTCTCTCTCTAATAAATAAAAATCTTTAAAAAAAAAAAAAGTCCTAAAAATCTGTGACTCTGTATTTGAAAATAGAGAAAGCATTTCTCTTTCTCTCCTCTCTCCTTGAAAAAGAGAAGCATTTTATCGTCACAAACAACTTCAGCATATTGTATATATAATTTTTTTTTTTCCACAGATGGTGCTTTCCTAGGACAACATTTAATTGCCCTTACAACTTTTTAAAACTACCAAATGGTTTAACTTGGGTCACTATTTTTGAGGAAAGTGTTGACATGTTAATCCTCTTGGAAAGTTGCAGAACTGAGATTTTAGAATATAACTCTCAACCATCAGATACAAACAGAGACACAGCATATACTGGTTGAGGAATTGTGGAGAAAGAAATTGTGCTTCATCGAGAATTGGCTGTGTTTTCAGGCAGCACAAACTCAACATCCCACCTATGCAGTGTGGCTGCCTTTGGGGCACCTAAAAGCTCAGGATTGTAATGGAGTCCCTGAAATCAATAAAGATGGCCTTTTAAATGAGAAATCCACTGGAAAGTTATATTTTTCTTTCTTTTTAATGTGCACCCCTGGATAGTGCAGTTAAATTACATGGTTGAAGGATATTATATTGATGTCCCTGTTGGAAAGAGTTTTCAGCCTTATCGGTTGTCTTTCAAATAATATTCTAAAGACTTGCTTTTGCCCATGCAATGCACGGCAGCAGAGTGGATTAAGTTAGCTCCAAAGCACTTACCATTGTCTATGAGCCAGAAAAGCAGCAAGGATTTTGATGGGCATTATTATTGATTATTTGTGAATGCTGATGGTGCATTTTCGTGGCTGAGTCCTTTCTATGCTTATTAGCATTCATAAATGAAAAGGCTCTGCTTAGCTGACTATTTAATTGGTAATTTAATTTCCCTAATGACTTTCTTTACAGGACCTGGATTTTGAAGCCAAAACAAGTTACACACTCCGGATAGAAGCTGCAAACAAAGATGCCGACCCTCGCTTTCTAAGCTTGGGGCCATTCAGTGACACGACAACAGTGAAGATAATTGTGGAAGATGTGGACGAGCCCCCCGTGTTTTCCTCACCTTTGTACCCCATGGAGGTGTCGGAAGCTACCCAAGTTGGGAATATCATTGGCACTGTAGCAGCTCATGACCCAGATTCTTCCAACAGCCCTGTGAGGTAAAAGCTCATTGCTCTTCTTTCCTGCAGTTTATAACAATGTGCTTTATTCACAACGCATGTTTCTATATTATGATGCTTTTGATTCACAGCAAATGAAGACCAGTTTTGTATATATATTGAGCCATAGCAGTGGAAGTGAAACAAGATCAGAACAACTCGACATTTTACTAATTTAAAAAAGTTTCACCTGATTATTCAAGGCCATTATTATGTAGCAATATTCCTAGGCATTCATTATCATCCACAAGCCATAGCTGATGTTCCTATTGAATCAATTATCCTAAACTCTTTCAAAGCAAACTGTGTTCAAAGATGAAGCGATGTATGTCCTAGATGTAGGATATGGACATATATTAGAAAACTAATTTTATAAACAATTAAAATTAGGGATTAACTTTTAAGCAAATCATTTTTTTTTACATATTGGTCTATTTGGGTAGCATATTTTTAGTTTATTATTTCCACTTGTAAAAAATTAAATAATAATGTATAAGGACTATTTTTCAAATGTTTTATCAATAGTCCTGTATCGAGACTAGACACATGGTTCTAAGCAACTGATCTCTTTACGACTAACAGAGTGATGATAGATAAGCACTTCAGAATACCACAACATTCAGTTTCACACTTTTTACTTCTAATTTACAACCTGAGATCTACATGTATGTTTTTGTGTATGTGTGTGTTAGTATGTGTGTGCATATGATACATCTTTTTAGGTGAATATTTTACAGAGAATATACTTGAAATTACTTTGTATTACATGTCTTAATTTGCATTCATAAGTAAAACTTTTTAATGTGACATTTTGGACTTTTTTTTTTTTTACAAAGTCTAATAAAGTACAAAAATCAGTTAAGGTTTTATATTCAGATATATTTAGCTTATAAGCTAACCACAGTTTTTTAGATTTAACTGCTATCTGGCAATGCTAAGTGCTTTTGAGCTAACTCCTGAGCTAAGTTTGGACATTGACGACAAAGTGTAATGAAAAATATCTGTAATTTAGACAATGACTCTTAGTTAAGAAAAGCATAATCTTTTACCTCCCTAAAATAATAAGCTTATTTAGGCATATATAACTGCTCTCCTTTCCTTCTCTTTTGTCTGTTATTAATATCATAGTCTAATGTAGAATTTGCATAAAATAATTGTTAGTTCAAAAATGAAGTCATACTTAGACGCCTGGGTGGCTCAGTTGTTAAGCGTCTGCCTTCGGCTTAGGTCATGGTCCCAGGGTCCTGGGGTCAAGTCCCACATCAGGCTCCCTGCTCCGCAGAGAGCCTGCTTCTCCCTCTCCCGCTCCCCCTGCTTGTGTTCTCTCTCTCACTGTGTCTCTCTCTGTCAAATAAATAAAATATTTAAAAAAAAAATGAAGCCATACTCATCATTTCCATCTATACAATAAATTCAGGCTCTATGGATGACTATATTATTTTGAACACAATGATCATAAACTATTCCTAAGAATATAATCTGTGTAATAGAACGTTTGAAAGTCACAAATGTACCAGATAGAACAAACCTTCCCCTTCTCCCTATAATAGCCCAGCCTTCATTGCCAAAACAGTTTCCTGACTTAAGCATAGCTCCATCCACCAAGTCTTGTTGACTTGTGAACACTTGAATTGGGGGTTTGTTATAGCATCACCTCTCTTACTGAAACATATAAGTCTCCTCCTCTTATGATCAGACACAGCATGATTGTAGGCATAGATCAGCAACTTGGAATAGTCTCACTTCTGCTTAAATCATTTAATTTCATGGGGAGAAAGAAAATGCTTTCATGAAGTTGGAGATATAAAAAAAGAGACACTAATACATAACATAATTCAGTACTTGAATGAGAGAAGTTAAGAAATCTTGTTTCTTCTTTTTCCTTTACTCGTTTCCTTGTGTATCATCCTGCTAAAGCCTCTCCACATCGATATTTCACTTGTTATAATATTTTATTTGAAAAAATGCAGCATTATATAATAATTTGGGGAAGAAGGGAGAGTAGGACCAAGTGGTAAGTGACTTGAGTTAGAGATGAAGTGACCTCCAGGTCTCCTCACTGAAGCACAGATATAGAAAGGTCAGAAAGTGAACTCTGCTGATTTTAGAGGTAAAGATCTCTGTGGCTTTCATCAATGAAAGAGGCTGGCCAGGAATTTATTTTTACCTCATTTTCATTTTCTTAAGGCTGATGAAGGTGACCTGAAAGGCCAGGTTAATACTAGCTTATGTCAGTTTTTGAACACCTTAATCTCACAATTAAAGAGGTACAGCCTTTGTTCCAAGTGGACTAAAATGGTTTTGTGTGTGTGTGTGTGTATTTCTTTTACTTTTGTAAAATTAATTTATTGACTTAATATTTACTACTTGTATTCTTGAAACATTTTTATACTATTTTTTATAAGGTCGCTCTGTCATTCATGGCTGATTTTTTTTCTGGATTTGTCTTTGATATATTTCTCCTCTCCTGTTTATTTGTGATATCCTTTAAGAGGCCAAGTTCCTCATCTTGTAGTTTGATGAGTGTGTACTCCTGTGCATTTTCTAGAATACTGGTTCTCTTCTCAGTGCTGCTATTTACCGAGTGACCTACGGAATGCCACTTAGCCACCTAAGGTTCCCTATGCCCAGTAAGAAGGAAAAGCAAACCCTATCCCTGCTTTATCCCAAGTTTTTTGAACATTAAGTAATAAAGGGAAAGTAACTAATGATTTTAAACTGAGAATCATGACTTTAGTATTAGGAAGTATTATCATTGTACATTGCTATTATTACAGTTTTTTGTGTTTGCATCCCATTTTTGTTTCAAGATCAGTAAGTCAGCAAAAGGAGACATACTTTACAAGCAATTGTATTGGTGATCTGTATTGAAATTTGTTTTGTATTCACATATGTTCCAATATAGAGACAATATATGCAGTTTAATGGACGTAAATATGTGTTTGCATTGGGCACTCAAGTTCCTATCAAAATGTAAGCCCTCCTTCAACACATGCCATGGATGGGCAGTGGGCATGGTCTGCTGAGATCCTAGGATAAGTGAATTTCCAGATTGAGATAGAACCTGAAGAGTCTTAGGATTGTGAGCTTTGTGCTCACATTGTGGTTCTTAGAGGAATGGGAAAGTAGTATTTGTTTCATTGTAATTGCTTAAAATTAGGCCAATAGTACTTGAATTGTAAACCAGGATGGGAAGTTGGATAATTAGTATTTAAATTTATTGACATTTTTTGTAGTATAATACTAAAATCTAGCATATGCTATTTATATTTGGAATATTTACCAATATGTGGAGTGAGAGACTAGAATTCTTTTTTTTTTCTAATTAAAGATTTTATTTATTTATTTGAGACAGAGAGAATGAGAGACAGAGAGCATGAGAGGGAGGAGGGTCAGAGGGAGAAGCAGACCCCTTGCTGAGCAGGGAGCCCGATGCGGGACTCGATCCCGGGACTCCAGGATCATGACCTGAGCCGAAGGCAGTCGCTCAACCAACTGAGCCACCCAGGCGCCCGTGAGAGACTAGAATTCTAGAAAGAAATACATTTACTGTCCTCCAGCAAGGCAAAATTGAGAGCCTCCTCTTACATGATCCCTGCCTTGCTCAGCACTTTTTATTTTTACCTACTTTTGACACCAGCCAAAGCTATGAGTAACTCTTCTCTGTGCATCTGCCCTTTCTTTAAAGAGGACTGAGACACCTACATCACCATAAAGCATTTTGGCCATCTAGAAGTATAGTAGCACTAGGTGGAAAGATTAAATGAACTCAGAGCCCATTGCTTAGCAAGAATATAACATTATTGTGAACTGTTGTATCTTCGTTATAGCTTGTCTAGCATCCAGGTTTGTTACCTCCCCCACCGTGTCATGTATACATTGTTTTCCTCTTCCCAAATAGAACCAAAAGCCAAAAGTGGAAATTAGATGATAGTTGAGATTACTTAGCCGGGGGGGGGGGGGGGGGGGGGAGACAAGACAAGAAGAAGAGGCTTTTTCAAAAGCAAAAGTAGATAATTATGGTCTAGCATACTTCTGGTTTTTATGTTTTTGTAGTTGTTTACTAGTTCATGTAAATTTTGGTCCTGAATACCAAATATCAGGGTTTACCTGTTGAACTTGGAAGGACAGGTCATATTCTGCTGATGATTTTGATCATCTTTCTGAATGGTAGGAACTTCACCTTCATCAGTGAGGTGGTGGATGTTATAAGAGCAGCCTAGAGTCTGGAGAACACTTCATTCCTCATGTCAGCACTGGGAGATGGAGCAGTGCATCAACACACATTTATTAAGAGCCTGCTTTGTGCACAGTGCTAGGGAGAATATTGACAGGAAAAACAGAGATGAATAAAACATTTTCTCTGACCTCAAGGAACTTAGAATCTGGTTGAAGACAGAAGATCCCATAAAAGTTAAACACAATGAGGGAAGACAGTGTCAGAACTGTAACATGGCCAATTGTGAGATAAATGGTAATCACTCTGAGCTCACCGGACAGGAGGCTTCATTTGAAGAAGTGATAGCATAAGCAGGGCTTTGAGGGATGGCAGGATTTGAACAAAACAAGAAAACATTATGCAAAGTCTGTTTATGTTTTATTTAGTTATATACTAAGAGTCTACTGCTGTTTTATGAAATCAGCAGATTTACTTCCATAGGCAGCACAAGCCCAAAGTCCCTATACTAAAAATAGCCAATGGATTGAAACATGATATTATTACAAATAAGATCAGATGTGAAGAGGGTTTCATAAAAATTAATGGGGATTATTTTCAGCATTTCTAACAATTTAAATACAGAACTACGTTTGTATTTATGCTTAAGGATACCACGATAATACTTACCTGCAGGCTCTTTTGGCATTCCTGGTATTATATGTTCTCAGATCAAAGGTAACAAAATAGTATCAGATATTACATTATGTAGTGTGACTAGTATGAACGCATTTGGGATGTTTGAATAATTCAGTGTGTAGTTTTTTAAGGAGCTTATATGCAT